AATAGCATTGTTGCTATGGGCCACAACTTTGAGCATTGGGACATCGCCAGGGTTGAACTCCAAGCTATTCTTGCTATCCAACAAATCATTGAGCCATGGATGTACGAATGCAAGGGGTCCTTCTTGAAGGTGAAAATCTCAACATCATCCGCCTTATGTGTGACTCGGTGACCAGGAATTTCTGGGAGGGCCATCCGAGCCTTAGCCAAGATATTGCTTTTTTGGCTTCTTTCAAGCAGGTGGTGTTCCTTCACACTCAGAGAGATTGCAACCGGGCAGCTCACTTTTGTGCTACTTTAGCTTTAGAAAGGAGTTTTGTTTTGAAACATGTAAATGCTTCTAGTGATCTTACATCCATTCTGAGTGATGATAGGTCTCATTTTGTACATCCATAGTTTTCACTTTGCATTCTTTTGTCACACTTTTTGATTTTCATGCAATAGATGCAATGTTCAAGGAAGCTTCCTCTCTCCCAGCAAGCAAGACGAGATCAGATCACTACTTCTCAGTAATGGACTTCCTGATCATCATTCTTCCTTAGCTCCTTCCTATCATAGATTCGAGAACAAAAACAGAATTCAATGCATGCGTTCTTTCTCTCCTCCTCTCAGCCACACATCTCTTTCGTTCGCCCCCTTTTTTCTCTATGTCACCGTCTCCTTTCAGTCGAGCTAGCGCCTCAATGATTGATGGAGATGGTTTTTGTACCGGTCAATCTTGAGATCCTCTTCTTATGTTATGGCATACTTTTGTATGATCAAAGATCGGCAGGTGATCCGTCCTTTCTCCCCGGCGCATTCTTCCTTCCACTGAAGTCGAATCGACGTTCCAAGGCCGCCAAGAGCGGAAGGTTCCTCAGTCTAGCGCCTTGCATGTAGCAAGGTTGCCCCGCTGCGCGCCTTCTTGAATGGCGGAGGGCGAAACCTGCTCCCGCTTAGATAGAACAGGAGCCCTGCCAGAACTAGAACAGGCCTTTAAGATCTAGGGCAATTTGCTCGCTTATACAAGACAGACCTTGACTGCCGCAAAGAAAGTCTGATACGCTAATAGGGAGCACCATTTTGTCGTCCATAGGAAGGAAGAGAGGGGTCAGCGAGCAGGTCTTCCCCATCTTTACCAAAGGCAAAAAGCTCCCAGCGTGGGGAGCCTGCATGACAAGAGCAGGCAGCAGACATGGTGCATGGGACCAACACTTCTTTTTCTCGCCACGCCAGCCACTTCATTCAATCAATCATATGTTCTATTCCGGGACACTGGCATTCATGACTTTTTTCTTTCTTTGGGCACCTTATGAAACGGCGGCTTATTACGCTGCTGACTTCTCTCACGTATATGCTTCGCTACGCTGCGCTGACTCACTTTCTTGAAAGACAAAGAGGATAGCGCGCTTCTGACACCACCACTTCTCAGATAAGAGACCACTCTTCAACTTTGAAAGCGCTACTGCTAACTGGTTGCTTGGTTGGCAAAGAATCAGAAGAAAAAAAAGAAAATGCTTGAGCTGCCGCTTTTTTTCAACACAGAGCCGGGAATCACGGCCGGCATAGAAGTCTCTTGCACGCAAGGAGATGCTGCTGCTGGATGTCATGGTTCCGGGGCGGGCGCCATGATCCTTCTATCTGGAACAATCGAGGGCACTGACTGACTGCATCAATCATCACTCAGTGAGCTATTAATTGCCGCCAATAGCGCTTCGCTTGCATGCAAGGCGGCAAAAAGCGCCAGGTAGACGCGCTAAGCGAAGGAGATGCATTTTGAGTACTGGTGGTACTGGACAAGCTCTAGGGGAATAATCTCTTTCTTATTTCTTTGCTACGCAACCTTTCTTTCCCATGACGACTAGGAACGGGCAAATCAAGAATTTCACTTTGAATTCCGGACCTCAACATCCTGCTGCTCATGGTGTTTCACGATCAGTATTGGAAATGAACGGAGAAGTGGTGGAACGTGCGGAACCACATATTGGATTACTCCAGTGCGGCACGAAGCCGCTGACGCTGAGTAGGCTCCTATGCCGCTAGCTATGCCCTGCTCGGTCCCCCGGTGGAGGTTCCGTAGCGCGTCATGAGCACCGGGCAAAGGGGCGGTTGAGCAACTCAAGCGAACCGCCCTACATTTGGATAGGGATAGAAGGGAGAAGGTTGTGAAGGTGGCCTCGTTATCCACACATCCGGTCGGATGAGACCGACCGACCTGGGTTTTCACGAGCGTTGGCGGGTCCTGGAGTGCCCGTCAAGGGCGCTAGCGCATACCTCGGGGTGATCATCACCACCTGCACCTCACAGCTCGGCACTGTGGAACGTGTAGCCCGCCTGCTGTGGTGATCATCACCACCTGCACCTCACATCTCGGCACAGTGGAACGTGTAACCCGCCTGCTGTCCAAGTCAACCACTGAATTTCCTGTAATCCATAGCGCCTAACAGAACGTAGCAGCAAGGGACAACCCACCCATACAGACAGCCTGCGGGGAGGATGGCACTACTGGCAAAGACCGTCTGGCGAAAACGCCGCAGGCGCGAAGCGTGGTAGGCCTGCGCCGGGGGAGCATAGGGAGGAAAGGGAGCCCGGACGGTGGAAGAGCCAGGGGAGGCCGGGTCATTTGACGGAAATGTAAGGTCCGAGCGGCTCATTCATTTTCCTTATTGGAAATAGGGGGAGGGAGCAAGCCAATGGATCAATGAATAGATAGAGTAAACGGTAGACAGAAAGCGCTGCCTACACGCGAATTAGCTTCCGAGGCGCGGAGCGTTTCACTAATCACTAAAGGATTTGCGAATGAATGCTGGGCTGGGCCACCTCGAATGGCGTGAGCCGCATGCGGGGAGACCCGCACGTACGGTTTTCAGGGGGATCAGGCCGAAAGACCGGCCGGCGCCCACCCGACTAGAGGGACTGAGAAATTAATAGAGTACAAAACTTATCTTCAAGCTTTACCTTATTCTGATCGTTCAGAGGGCGATCGCGGAGTCACTGAATGAAATCCTCCGTTTCTTTCGGAGGTGCTGACCCGCAGCGAGGCAGATATGACTAAGTGACATATTGAAGATGGCGACGACAACAGCATGTCGTAGAAGGAGATCACAGGTGGAGCCAACGACCCACTCAGACTCACGTATCTACAACTACATCCCCGAGCGGCAGTCAAACGGGGGCGTGAATGCAAGATGCCAGCGGAATGATCGGCCGGACAGAGGCTAGGGCTGCTTCCTTCCCACCGCGTCCTTCCTTGTGTGTCGGAGATACAAAGCGAGTACACCAGAAAAGAACGGGAACTGGGTCGATCTATTCCATGGCGAAGCATCCGAAGCATAACTGCACACTCACACGATCTTTGCCGAGATATAGGAGCATTCGGTGGAACCGGTGAACTACACTTGCTTCTTTATAGATGTGTGGGACAGAGGGCTCGTGGTACCTGCTGCCCACACTGTAGTAGCTTTGATAACCGTGTTCACGGAGAGTGGGCAGAGCAAAAGGGAAGGAGGTCCTCATATGGAGTCGCACACTTGAGCAGTGCGGGAGACTGGAGAATGAGTCGAGTAAACTCCCTTGGGCCGAGAAAACACGAATTTTTTTTGAACATTCTTTTTTCAAAGTGATTGGAAAGGTTGGTATGTTATCAAAAAAGGAAGGCGCTAGTCAGGTAAGTACTTCGAATGACGAAGAGAGACTGAAGGTAGGGAAGGAATGGTCAATCGTCAAGTCAAGGATGACTTCTTTGTTGGCGAAACGATGGGGGGGAGAAACCACGCCAGTGATTCTCTGAGCCGGTCTTTCTTTCCAACGCCTCGGTAAACTGGTCGAGATAGATGACAGCACCTTCTAGCGCCTCTTCATGTTTTCTTCTTATTCTGGCCTTCACCTCCCGCTTAGGCCCGGAAATAGAAACCAGCCCCCTTCAGATCCATTCATTTCTGCAAGCAGGCGGGATCCAGAGCTAAGCCCCCTCCTATTCGAACAAAGACAAGCTTCCCTCGCCCCACAAGCACCCAACCTTCCTTTTCTAGCACCTTCGGTTTGGCTCCACGAACGCGCCACCTAGGAGCCCCACTCATATTCAAAAGGCTAAAGCTTGAAAGACGATTCTGATAAGTAGTTACGCTGCCATTTTTACAATATCATGGAATAGCATGGCCCGGGGCTAAGGTCACTCCAGTGGGAGAGCCGTGTGATGGGTGACCTTCTTGCACGGTTCAGAGAGCACTTGTGTATGTGATGCAAGTGAACGTGTACGAAAAAGCTGTCGTCAAGTTTCGTGGTTCGATCCGTCGTCGACCCTATCTATGTTACTACGATGGCCCAAGAACAAGGAATGGTCAATCGTCAAGTCAAGGATGACTTCTTTGTTGGCGAAACGATGGGGGGGAGAAACCACGCCAGTGATTCTCTGAGCCGGTCTTTCTTTCCAACGCCTCGGTAAACTGGTCGAGATAGATGACAGCACCTTCTAGCGCCTCTTCATGTTTTCTTCTTATTCTGGCCTTCACCTCCCGCTTAGGCCCGGAAATAGAAACCAGCCCCCTTCAGATCCATTCATTTCTGCAAGCAGGCGGGATCCAGAGCTAAGCCCCCTCCTATTCGAACAAAGACAAGCTTCCCTCGCCCCACAAGCACCCAACCTTCCTTTTCTAGCACCTTCGGTTTGGCTCCACGAACGCGCCACCTAGGAGCCCCACTCATATTCAAAAGGCTAAAGCTTGAAAGACGATTCTGATAAGTAGTTACGCTGCCATTTTTACAATATCATGGAATAGCATGGCCCGGGGCTAAGGTCACTCCAGTGGGAGAGCCGTGTGATGGGTGACCTTCTTGCACGGTTCAGAGAGCACTTGTGTATGTGATGCAAGTGAACGTGTACGAAAAAGCTGTCGTCAAGTTTCGTTGTTCGTTCCGTCGTCGACCCTATCTATGTTTCTACGATGGCCCAAGAACACGCTCATTCTTCAGCCGTAGAGAGACTTTTGAATTGCGAGGTACCATTACGAGCTCAATATATACGAGTGTTATTCCGTGAAATCACTCGAATTTCAAATCATTCACTTGCTTCAACTACTCATGCTATGGATGTGGGAGCATCAACTCCGTTCCTTTGGGCTTTTGAGGAGCGGGAGAAATTGTTGGAATTCTATGAAAGAGTCCCGGGAGCCAGGATGCATGCCAGTTTCATACGACCTGGTGGAGTGGCACAAGATCTGCCTCTTGGCTTATGTCGAGATATTGATTCCTCCACACAACAATTTGCTTCTCGTATCGACGAATTAGAAGAGATGCCAACAGGCAACCGTATCTGGAAACTGAGATTAGTGGATATTGGTACTGTCACTGCACAGCAAGCAAAGGATTGGGGATTCAGTGGTGTAATGTTAAGAGGTCGTGCGACATGAAGACATTGATAGCAATATGGGGGAAGTTCCCATCAGGCAACAACGGTTCTGCCTGACCCTACTCAAGCATGCATATGTTGTCAGTTAAGATTTTGTGTGAAGCCTTGGAGACGACGTACCGGGGGCTAGGGTGAGCTGAGGGGGGACAGCGTAAGTGAGCGAATGTGTGTAAGCCCAGTCAAAGATTCCTATTCTGGGCGGGCCATCCACCTTCGAATGGTGTTGGTCCTACGGACCGTGAACGGATTCGCCTCTGGCCTCTGGGCACGTCGGAACCGCATGAGTTCACCGGGGTGGAGCACGGTCCGCCAAAATCGGCATAGGTTAGGTGCTATTGATGGAACATGGTAAGCCCATCTTTCTCCATATGGAAGTGCTGCGGGCACATAGAGATGTGGGTAGAGGAAGTCTCAAAAAGCGACGAGCTGTAGGTCACGTGACCTGCACCGAAAAGTTGGCTGACTGGGCTTTATCCTATATCAAAGCAGATCAGCTCGCCGAATTCGTCGATAAAATTGGGCGCCCCGGAACGTCGAATGAAAAGAGGTGGCTTTCTACAACCCTCTTTCTATGATAGGCCCGGCCCCTTCCCCCTATCCCTCCCTGATGTTTAGGAGCGGGATCTGCCCAATTCGGTACGGAAGGCACGGACTCCGCGAGCGTCCCGCACCCTCAGAGAAAGAAACTCCTCAAAGAGAATGTCTTTGACTTACAAAGACATTCGGGTCAAAAGAAAAAAAGGATGACGCTCTGTGTCTGACTCTATTGGTCATAGTTCCTTGCTTTTGCGGCCGGTGCTCGTTTGCGCGCGCGTGAACCACAATTAAGGAAAGGATGCCTCTCGGGGCATCTGAGAATGATTCGAGCCGTATGAAGGGAAACTCCCACGTACAGTTTTTTTTTGGGGGGGAAGGAGCCCGACAGGGCCCCCTCACTGACTTGGCCCGAGCCTAAGTGAAAGTGAAGTGGTGGGCCTACCCATCCCAACCTGGGGTATGCTGGGATTCGCGAAGAGCAGCACCTTACGATGTTTATGACCAATCGGATCCTGACGTACCAGTAGGTACCAGAGGAGATCGCTATGATCGTTACTGTATCCGTATCGAAGAGATGCGACAAAGTGTTCGGATCATTGTGCAATGTCCTAATAAAATGCCTAGTGGCATGATCAAAGCCGATGATCGTAAGCTATGTCCTCCATCACGAGGTCGAATGAAACTATCCATGGAATCGTGCGCCGTGTGAAACGTAGATCATCGCCGTTCTTAACCGAGACTCAGGTTAAGCTCCGTCTCGGAACCGTCGTGGGGTTAGGAGTAAAGCATCCCGAGGTTGGCGCATCTCGTTGGGCGTGGAGAAGCATTGGGAACCCTAATCTCTTTCTTCGGAGCAGTTTCTTTTCCCGTCCCCTCGCCCCGGCATAGCGCTTCGCTTCCGGTTATTCGGAAGAATCAACTGACTTCTCCCTTCTTCATGGATCTGGGGGAAAAGGAACCGTCTACCAGTTGGGAAGCTAGACATCAAGGTTGTGGCTTGATGAGGATAACTAAGCTGACACGCCGGAGTTGGCTGCTGGCACAACAGGGTGGTGCCTTACCGCACCGCAGGCGCACGCGCGGTAGCGTTCGTGGTGGTGCTTCAGGATTCCAATGTACTGCGTCCAAGATCAGAACGAGCTTGCCGGCGGACCACTGCCGTCCCATTCTTGAGTGAGCTGGAGCGCAGCCATCTTATCCACTGAAAACGCGTCAAGCTGGGTCGAAGCACTAAAAGAAAAGGACGGGAAACGCGGCGGCATAGGAACCACGGGAACCCAGGAGGGAGAAAGACGATGTACGGGATACGGGATCCTCGTAGTAGGCTGGACAAAAATCCAGCCGAGAGAGGGCAACCTTTAGAAGCTTTGGGAAACCAAGAGAACGCTTCGCGTTTTCTTAGATTCTTCCCGTAGGAGTAGCACAAGGATTAGCATTATTTACCCCATGAGAAAGCACTAACACCTTCCTCGTTGGGGCTGGGCTCCGCGCACTGGGAAAAGGCTTCCGGGAAACCAGCCACTAGTGACGAATGACGAAGTGAACCCCACTACGCGGTATCGAGAGGTCCCTCACAGTCAGGTGCGAGACAATTTCCCCCCTATTAGTAAAGTACCCCTCTTCCTATTTAGGGGGTTGAGGCGAGAAATGGCTTGATGAACCGTTCCGTTCGCCACGCACCGGCCCCATTCACTTGCAACTCGTAGAGGCTGTAAGTACACAGTGCCCCACAACTTTCAAAGTCACGTGGGGTTGAAACACGAGAGTGCCTACCTACGAGCCGAGAGTGCCCGCCCTTTCTGTCAAGTAGGCTACTTTTTCCGGAACGCAGTCCGGGATAACCGTGACCGTGTATATATAGACAGATCTTCGATGCTGTCATTTTGAAATGTCCGCTTCAACCACTGTTTCACCTCCCCCAAAAAAAGCTAAGTTGGCTTGACGAGCGCAGATGAGGAAGCGGGAGCAAGAAAAAAAGAATCTCTCTAGTGCGCCTTCTACTTCTACTTAAGGGTAAGGGGCAAAGAGAAGCGCTTTCGCTACTGAGAAACGAACGGTCAGCGCGAGGGTTCGACGACTTAGCCGAGCGTTAGCGAAGCGTCATTCTCAGAGTGAGGCGCTTCGAGTTAGCGAAGCGCTGTAGTAGCGCCGAAGAAGCCTATGTGCTGAACCAAGTTATCTAGTCAACTGAGTTCTGAACGAATGGGATCCTTGGTTGGTAATGGCTCAATCTATAGATAGAAAGCCTTATGATGGGAAACTACCACGTTAGGTTTGGAGAGAGATGGGACCGGTTAGAGTTTAGGGGGAGCAGATGCAAGCTTTTTCTTTCCATAGCCGGCCAAATGACTACAGGATCATCGGTCTACTCTACCTCAATTCACCATTTCGAACTTTATACAGAAGGTTTTTCCGTACCAGCTCCTTCTACCTATACCGCAGTTGAAGCACCTAAAGGAGAATTTGGTGTCTTTCTTGTCAGTAATGGAAGCAATCGTCCCTACCGTCGTAAAATAAGAGCACCTGGCTCTGCCCATTCACAAGGACTCGATTCTATGTCTAAACATCACATGCCAGCAGATGTAGTCACCATCATAGGTACTCAAGATATTGTGTTTGGAGAGGTAGATAGATAGGACTGCGTCTTGCTCGATCAGGACCCTAGCTTGATTGCTAGCCAAAAAACCCAGATTTCCGAAGAGTTTCTTTCGATCCTCGGCTCTACCAACCTA